GTTGCCTCTCTAAGCTATTTTGCTTTGGGAGTGCCATCTGGCCAGACTAATAAAGGTCTGTTTTATTTTCCAACTTGTCCGGTGTGTTCCTTCCCGGGTGTTCGTCGCTGCAGTCAGCTCCTTGGAGCGTTTGGTAAGGCCCTCGGTCTTACAAAACCATAACAGAGGTCGGGTGTGTGAAGTGATAGAGGCAGCCCAGCCCAGCGTGCGTAACCTGGACAGCAGCAGGCCAGAGCTGAGCTCCCCAGTGTGGCGAAGCACAGGGGCTAAAGCACAAAACAGTCCGGGAGGGCAGGACTGGAGAGGTAAGGGGAGCACACGCTTTACTTGGGGACAGACACAAAAGGTAGTGGCGTGCAGGGCCTGATGGCGAATGCCCGTGGCCCCGGCTGCTCGGGAGGCTGAGGCAGGATGACCGTTGTGAGTTGAGGCCAGCCTGAACTACGTAGTGAGACCCTGTCTCAAAAACAAAAACAAAAAAAAATAAAAACAAAAACCAAAAGTGTAGAGGAAGCTGTCTCCTATAAAACTGTCAGTTGGCCTCTGTACTCCCAGTCGGAAAGGTGAGCGTAGATACTTGTGCTGTGTGTGCTGGGGCACGGGGCGGCCTGCTGGGCCTCCTCAATCCTTTGCCCTGCATGGTGTCCACCAGCTCGGGGTTGTGGCTGGCTCAGGCACTCAGCCTTGGTCCTGACTGCTCGAGCTGGAGACCCAATCAAAACCTCAGCACTGTAAGAGGCAAAAGTATTTTAATCGGTCTGTATGTCATTAACCACGCTAATAAGGCCTCGTTCTCCGAATTAGCTCAGTCAACTAGCAGACAAAGGCACGCAGGCTGCACAGCGGCTCACACCGGAGACAAGGTTCTGTGGTGAGATAATTGCTAAACAAGCCTTCCTGAATTATGGCCCCCGGAAGCCAAAAGGCCATAGATACCATACACGGACACCAAAAATAAGAGCGGGGAAGGGTGAAAGGGGAGGGGGAGACAGACCGAGAACCCCGGATCGAGGCCCGGAGCTGGGGAGGGACTCCTGCGGGTTAGGAGTGAAAGCAGGCAGCGTCTTGCAGAGCAGAGCAGGGCAGAGCAGAGGAGAGATCGCAGCCTCCCTGTCGCTGCCTCCGGTGTCCAGTGCTTCGCAGGGGGCTGGACAAGTAAATCCACTTCGCGCTCTGCCTCCGCCTCCACTGCGATGCCCGGCCTCACCCCCAGCCCCAGTAGGCGGGGCCCGGTGACCGAGACTTGAGCCGGCCCGGACGGGGGTGTCCTCCGTGACTCGGTCAGGGGCGAGCGGCCAGCCGCCGGAGCGATGAGACTAAGTCGCCGGACACTGCATGGATCAAAGCTTAAAAGATGCAGCTGCTGCTGGGTAGCAGGGCTGTTGTCCAGCTGCTTAGAAGACTGAGGCACGAGTGCTTGAGCCCAAGAGTTTGATGCCAGCCTTAGCAACATGGTGAGGCCCTGCCTCAAAAAATAAAACAATTACAAGATGCAGGGTCTGTGTGAAAAGTCTCCCGCCTACTTCATCTCTCCTGAGTACTTTGCGCCTCTGGAGGCAACTAATGCTTTCAATTCCTTCCAAACTTTCTTTCTTTCTTTCTCTCTCTTTCTTTTCTTTCCTTCCTTCTTTCCTTCTTTCTTTTTCTTTCTTTCTTTCTCTTCCTCTTCCCCCCCCCCCCTTTCTCTTCCTTCCTTCATTTTTTTCTTCATTTTGAGGCAGGGTCTCCCTTTGTAATTCAGGCTGCCCCTTAAATCATTATGTAGCCCAGGCTGGCTTTGAACTCTGCAATCCTCCTGCCTCAGCCTCCTGAGTGCTGGATCATAGGTGTTCACCACCACACCGGGCTCTCTTCCAAACTTTATTTAAACGTGAGATCATTGAAGTATCCTTTGGCAACCTGTTTGGGTTTTTTTTGTTGTTTTTCAATTAATGTTATATTTTTTGAGACCTCTATTTTGAAATCTGTACCTTGAGATGGCCCATTTTGGTTCCGTAAAGTGCTGTCCAATAGGACTTTCTGTGCCAGGTGTGGTGGCACATGCCTGTGACACCAGCCCTCAGGAGGCCACCCTGGACTTCACAGTGGGACCGTGTCTCAAATCTAAAATTCTTAATCCAATTGTTCCTGGCATATGAGGCCTACTATGACATGCTTTTGTTTTTAATTTATAATTTTTTGTGTTTTGAGGTAGGATCTCGCTATGTAGTGCAGGCTGGCCTTAAACTCAATGTAATCCTCCTGCTTCAGCCTCCTGAGTGTTGGGATTACAGGCATGCACCAACATGCCTGGGTTAAATTATAATTTTTGCAACATCAGGATATTCACATAGGGCAGGGAATAGAGCTCAGTGGCAGAATGCTTGCTTAGCATACCTATGGCCCTGGGTTTGATTCCCAACACTGCTGGCGAAGCCCAACCGACCTCCACTGCTGCTTGACAGAGTTCCAGCTGGGGGAAAGAAAGGGTGGAACACATCG